AGAGAGTTTAATAAGAATAATTGTGATATGCATGTAGGGTATCATAAAATTAAAGTGATTCTTGTGAAACAAAATGGTCTTGCACTAATTCATCGGGCCCGCTAGGGATGATGTATAACAGGGTAACCATTACATGCCTGAATCAAAGACATTGTTGAAGTAAAGACAAGGTTCATATGTAAAAAAAAAATTCACTCACCTGAGAAATCCATCCTCGGTATCATATTGAATTGATAAAATTACATTAGTTAATATTGTATCGACAACCTCCCATCATACTTGAAACGGACCATAAATTTTAGAATTTAGTTTATTTCATTTCCAATGAGAATTTGTCTTGACTCCGGTTTAGAATTTGTCAGGACTCCAGTTTAGAAAGTTGATAATGGAAATTTTAGATTTGCAGGAGTTTCCCACAGATTTTTTGAATCCCGTTGGATTCTTGATCTATAGAGGATGGGTGTGTCGATGCGTCTGGCTGACTTATGGATTATATACAAAAATACCTTTACCCAAAACCTCAACCCTCATCATTTTTTATCTCAGGGATTGAGGAGGACAACCATCCGGAGAAGAGAAGAAAATGTAGCTAGGTTTCATGTGATTGGGGCTTCTACTTCATTGATTATCAATAGGACCGACATTGATGGCAAAACAATTTTAATATAAGGGACAAAAAGAAACAGGAATTGGCGATTCAACATATTCATATATTTAAAACAATCCAGTGAAAAATTCAAAAGCAGCATAACGACAATGAAACATGACACGTACTACAGACTAATACCTAATAACAGCTCTTAATGCTACAATGTCAAAAATGACAACAGCATGCAGAGATCTTTTAAGACTTAAGTCATGCTTGCCACCCATATCCTCCTGGTTGAGGGGATACACCTTTCGCATAGCTAACCGGTGCACTGGCATAACTTGCCTGAGGAGCCATCGACTGATCATAGGTTACCGGGTTTGCTGCTGGAGGGGCATTGTTAGCATAAGCTGCATCAGTGGGTCCCGCTTGGTAGCCGTAGTTGGCATTAGATGCAGGTTGCTCTCCATAAGCAGCAGGCTGTGTCGCCGGATACTGTCCATAACCACCAGATTGTGCACTTGGCTGGCTGTAGGCCGGAGGTGGTTGCCCACCTTGCACATAGTTTGGAGCAACTTGGCTGCTTGGTTGGGAGTACCCAGATGTCGGCCCATAATTCTGAGCTGATGGGTACGGCTGCTGGGTGGGTCCTCCTGATGGTGGACCATAAGACTGAGGTGCTCCAGTATATGCAGCAGGCTTGCTATAAGGCGGTTGTTGGGCGTAAGTAGCCTGTGGCGTAGGGTTGGCTTGTTGGGGATAAAAGCCTGGCTGCGAGCTGACTGGCTGCTGTTGCTGACCATACATCTGCTGTGTTGGTGCTTGGTTATAGTAGTTGGGGTCATTGTACCCATGTCCTCCATAGCTCTGTTGAGGAGGGCCAGACTGTGGATATGGATTTGGGTGCTGGCTGTAACCTGAAGCTTGAGACTGACCATAGTAGTTCACAGGAGCAGAGTTATGTTGTTGAGTTCCCATGCCATTTCCCTGCCCTTGTGCGTAGTAATCATAGCCACCAGGGGTTTGAGCTGGAACAGCAGGCCTCTGTTCCCATCCTGCGCTAGGATTCCTCAGAGGAGGCTGTTGTGGGTAGCTGCTGGCATTCGACTGGTGAGGATACTGTGTGGTTTGAGACGGGTACGTACCTCTTTGAGGATAATCATAGGCAGTTCCCTGTTGCATTTGGGATTGGCCTGGATGCGGACCACGGGGACCCCATTGAGGTTGCGTGGAAGGACCACGAGGATGATAGCTTTGGGTATGCCCGGCAGAGAAACTTGATGGCCTTCCAGGCATCTGCACGAAAAATACATATAAACTTGAGCTAAACAAAGAACAAAAATGGAGAAACTTTTCAAATAATTTTATGACCCAGTATGATTGTCAGTAAATGGAGCATCTGCAAGAAGATAAATAACGAGACACAAGCACCAACATAAACAAGTTGCAATTACTAGAGAAGCAAAAAAAATACAATTATGCAGAAGTAATTGCATGATTATATGTTAAAACAACAGAAATGAAAACATAACTTATCAAACTAAATGATAAGCTAATAAAGGAACTATTTTCATAAAGTCCGCATATCAAATTTTATCCTAACCTATTATAACACACCACATGCCTCGAAGATTGCTGTGCTTAAAAGTTAGAAAGCTTACATCACAAGTAAAACAACATCAATAATTCAAAAGCACATGTAAGACAACCTGCATCTGATGGAAGCACATGTATTGAAAACAATGAATTGGTAGCAAATAAACAGTTCCTTGCAACTATCCAATCAGGAAGCAAACTAACAGAAGTTTTGTTGCTCAAGTAACAAATATAAACGAATAATTTCACAGAACAGATTTGCATGATGTCGACAAAATTTTTTGTAAAGTCTTCTCAGCTGTTACTCCGATATCAAAAAATTGAATAGATCCAATATCAGTACAAATATAACAGCATCGGTCCTTTCCAAAGGTGATAATAATTACATGTTCCATGGTTTACTATGCATGAATCCTTGATTGAAGTTGTCGCTCAAAGGAGCACAAACATGACAGCAGATAACAAGATAAAGCTGTTGATGCACAGGGATTTTCGCAAGTCATTAAATAAGAATAAGAATAGGAGTTTAAGTCAAATTACAAAAAAGGACAGATTTTGAACACACGAGACATGTGCTTGCAACAAGATCAGGAAGATGTCTGTCCATACAGAACAGTAATCTTTGACATTATTTTGATCATTTGGTGCCAGTATAATTTGTCATATCGAACTACACAAGCAAGGATTTGACCAACAATGGCAATCAATGTGTCCAAATCATGAAAAAGTTAAACACACATGGGGTTGAGTATACATACCACATAAGCAAAGAGAACTATGGCTTCACCATGAATAATGAATGAATAAAGTCTAGAGACACGAGGCAAGCACTGGGCGTTAAAGATCACTAGAACACCAAGGTCATCACTTTGCTTGTATGGACATACTAATTTTTTATTAAAGCAGTCTTACCAACTAGAAAATTTCTGCAATGTGTAAAGCCTGAAATCCCACTTCTGGTAGATGAGTATGAAATAGAGTGAGTTCTTACACCAGGAAACCAGTGCTGACCCCCATGTGAAAGGTAAGCTGCATCTGCATTATACAATCCAACCAACGCCAAATTGGCATCTTCAGCATAATAAACCATGTGTGATTGTCAGGGGATCATGCAAGAATGCAAATAATCTCTCATTTCTCGGGACAACAGAGAACAAGCCACATGCCTATCATCAAGGTGTGTCAAGGTCAATCAATTATTCTTACGGCATGTAATCATTCAATAGAAATTTTTCTACATGGCAGGCAATCATTTCATTCACAAATTGCACCATGGATATACTGCAAATGCAAGGAAATATGTCCACTGAAAAAGTTCCTACTCAACAAGATTATACAGTTGTTGCAAAATATAACATCTGGATCACTCGAGCACTAGTTTCCCAAGAGAGAACTTGATAAGCATTATTTATAATGGATCAAAATTTCAACAACTCATATTTTCTTTCCTATTAATAACCACTTAAAAGATGGCATAAAACATTAAAGAGGACTATATAGTCTACTGAATTTATTCAGGAATCTAAAAGGTATAACTATAGATGATGTTAAGAGAAGTAAAGGCAAAGGTGCATTTATCTAAGGAATTGTGACAAATAGGAAACTATTTCACATTGGAAAACATATTTTTCTTGCAAATATACACTAGCAGCAAAAACTAGAATGAAGTAAAATTACCAGAGTGATATATGCAGCATGTACACAGCTTGTCCCCTAATTCTGTCAGATAGCACTTAAGTAAATACTAAAAGATACAATCTAATTGAAATTTGTGTCCCTTGGCACTCCACGCAAAATCTTATGACAAGCAAAAATGAGGTATAGACATTCAATTAATCCAAATACGTTGTACAAGCACCTCAAATGCTAAATAGAAGATTACTGTTAGCCAAGACAACTGATGGGTTAATGAATATGTAAAATATTGAAGAGGCTCGCCCATATTAAGAGAGAGCACATGAGGTACAGTACATATTTTCACAGCTGAATAAGACTATAAACAAGGTGCAAGAGGTGGAACCATTATCTAGATAAGTAATACTTTACCTTGATCTTGCTGCATGACTTATCTCATCCCAGTGACATATTTCCTCCGCGATGCATACGCTTAAAAAAAATTATATATAATGATGCAAAGCCTCAGGTTAAGGAAATGTTTCCACAACAGATCAACGAACACTACATGTGTCGGAAACTTTATAATGATTGATTTGAAACAACAAAGCAACACTGCCTTAATAAGAAAGATAATTGTCATTTCTGATTTATTGTGAATATAAGAACCTACAATACCTGTATTTAAACGAAAGACTACAAATCTCCACTGGTCTTCTCAAATGAAAACCATTTATCCAACAGCAGCAGTCAAACTCTAATAGAATCAAGCATGAACATCTACCACTACCAATAAAATTTGAAAAATACTAAATGGATGATTTCCGACACTCTGACAGCTACATTTGTGTTATCATTTGCAGGTCAAAAGACTGGAATTATGAGCTCCCTAAAATAGACGCTAATTTAGTTTATGCTCAAGAGCAAATACATAGTAGCATTCTTGCGAAAGAAACAATCAAATGTTTGCATACAAGGATGAAAAGTTATTGACATTTTGCAATCGGCAACTGTACAATGGTGAAAGAAAAATGAAGATTGAAGAATGGCACACAAAGATTTGTTAAACCCACAGGTTGCTATTTCTTCAGAGGAGTCACCCTTATAGTTATCAGACATTTGCATAAGCACTCTATCAGCCTAACAGCCTAGCAAAATGACGTCCAAAAGCATGCAAATCTACTTTACAGTACCTCTTGGCATCAGTAACACTCACAAGCATTATTAACATCAACAACTTAAAGCAAAAAATCAGAAATGAGTCGTATTTCTGATAAAATATAATACTTTGTTAGTGCTTTAAACTAACTGTCAAATTTTCAATCCCATCCTGCTGGCAGAAAACTGACTGGAATCTACCAGACGGTTTTTTTTAACCTCATAAAAGCATAAATACTGATGTATTTAGGTAGAGGCTCTAAATTTTAGCATTCCCTCTAAGAGACAAAGTGCTATCAAGGCTCGCCAGAATTCCAAGTAGTTCAAGGAACAATCAGAGTTCATTCATATTTCAGATAACTAGTATAGTGCATGTGCTTTGCATGAGAGCATACCTGCTTTATTTTATATATTTTCCATTTTTTGTTGGCTACAAAAAAAATAAAATCACTTGTACAATATAAATTATGAACAATTACAATTTTATTTAAATGAATAAATTGTACGATATAAGTGTATATAAATAATTGTATGATCAATTATAGTTTGGATAATTATTATAATTTATTCATAATTTATTAAAATAATTATAATATATTAAATAGTTTTTCTCTTTAAAATATAATAATATTATACTTGGCATAATTATAATACTATTAGTAAATACATTTTTATTTAATAATTAGTTTATTACACTATAAGTAAATAATTTACTAAATTGCATAATTATTAGATTATAGTGTAACTTAATAATTTGAAAATACTATTAAAATCATTATACTATTAATACTATTACAATTACAATAAATGCAAATTCTTTTTCATACTATTATCATATTTTTGAGAGGCTAATAAGCTGTAAGGTAACATGTAGTCCTCCATAAGAGGTGAAACCCAAAGTTATAAGGCATAAGCCTAATGAATTTTTGTTATTTTTAATTATTCTAGAATTATAAATATTATGTGAAGATAAATCAGGGATAAAAATTTTCTATTAAATAACATAATTAAATAATACAATAATAGTGTGACAAAAGGTTTTGAAAAAGTGAGGAAATGTATAATTAATAAGAGGTTATATATAGTTAGTGAATGATTAATTACAAGTAATGACATACTTGAGAATTATCAAAGTTAAAAGGGCAAAAATGGAAATTAAAAGTTTTGACAAGGCAATCCTCTTTTATATGTAGTACAGATATAGATACAAAACATATTATTGTGCTTCCTTTCTCTTATTATCTTTAAAAGCTCTGCTAGCTGAATTTCCAATTATGTCTAGTCTAGAACACATTATTGTGATTCAGTGCTATTATCTTCAAAATTCTGCTGGCTGAATTTCCAATTATGTCCTGCTTGCAGTAAAATGACTAGATGTCACCAGAATATTTTTTTTTACTATATAAAACCAGAAATACAGATACATCAGTCTGAAGCTCTCAAAATAGCACTCCATCTATGAGATGCGTCAGACTTCGTTAGACTTCCAGATGGTTCATGTGAAGCCTGTATTTTTTTCAGAACAGACAGAACTTTCTTTAGTTCAAGAAATAGCTATCCTCTCAATTTTTTATGTTACTCTGTGAGACCCAGCAGCTAGTAGCAAAATATTTGTTAAACAATAGAAACATGAAAGACAACAATGATACAAAATGTACATGACATATTGGTAACTAATATGTGTCAAATACAACACATGCATGTAACAGCCCCCACATGCGCACACCATCTCTCAAGTAAGGAACCCATCTATAAGTTGGCAGATGTTTGAATATTTCTTCAAAACAATAAAATATTTAACGCAGATACTAAGTCACAGCAAACCAATATAACAGTAAAACAAATATACCTGGTTCATGACTTCCATGATCATTATTTTTGCCGATTCAATTTGTTTTTTGTTTCCAGTTATGCGTACTGTTCTTTCCTTGGAAAGATCACCCTCAGGAAGATGTTGTGGTATAATCTACGGAATATTGAGATAAGATTACTAGGTAAAGTGTTACTAGGTAAAGTGTTACAAGCTACAATCTGCAAGAATAACAAGAGACTGTTTTCTTGCTTAAATGAATCATTCAAAGTCAATCTTACCTGGATACGAGCTTGTGACTTAGTTTGCAAGGTTTTAATGGTCTCACCACCTTTTCCAATTATCACTCCCACCTGGACAATAAAATCCTTAGTAAGTAAAAGCAGAGAGTAATAATGATAAGCAGACAAAATTCACCTTTTCATTTGGGACTTGCATCTCATGCACCTCAGAACTAGATTGTGCAGCACCGAATCCCCGGGCAACTAATGCAGGAGAACCTCCTGCAACAGCCTAAAGGCATAAACCACAATTAGAAATTGCATGGACATAACCCAACAACAATCAGAGATAAAAGCGAAGTAGTCTGTAAGAGAAACATGCAAGTATTAGACGACAATTAGATTCTCATAGTCAATAAACCTCAGCTATGACATCCTTTATCATTTGTTCCGCCTTATTGATATTTTCTAGAGTTCCAATTAGTTCAACGGGTCGTGAAGATGAACTCGGATCAGCTTCAGCATCTCTTGTTATTTGAATTCTTGCCCCTGAATTGCTTTGCAATAGCCTGATTGTCTCCCCTGCTTTACCAATAAGGGCACCCACCTGTATAAGAGGTACAATTCATAATCAGAGGAAACATAATGCAACTTCATGTACCGAAGCATGAAAAATATAAGAAAAATTAAAAATTCACTGCAGCCAGAAGCTACCACATTATTTTAAGTTCTGAAATGCAATATGAATCTGTTGTAACCTCTTTTATCTTTTTTTTTTGGGTTCTTTTATATTCATCAAAGTTTGCATGTTGCAGCATCATAGGGACCATTCATAGGATCCCACTGGCATATCTCAGGCATCTGTTAACATATGAAATTTTTGGAGGTTTTTCCAACATAATTATAGCTATTCTTTAGCTTCTGTTCACTTCAAAGTGTTACCCGAAAGAAACGTTTCAATGGCAAATAAGTAAAATCAGCAAAGCAGATAAAATCTTAACAACACGGTGGCAAGCTTTCTGCCAACTTGTGATTGGTATTGATCTCCTTCAAATCAAAAACCACCTCTTGTCCATTGTTATGTTCAACGAACTCCCAAGGATTTTGCACATTTTGCTAGTAAATAATAAACCGCAAGTTCAACATATTTCAGGTAAATATCTTAGTCTTGATGGAGTTCAGGTTTAATTCAACTTGCTATTGTTAAAAGAAAGCTAAAGCATAACATTACTAAGTAGCACTAAACAAGAAGGCTTAAAAGAACAGGTGTTAGTTACCAAGTGGATAAAAAGGCAGGATCCTAAACTACAACAGAGAAAAATTAGAAAGTAGGTACAAAGATAATTATTCTTAGTTGTTAAATACACAAAATTCTATGGCAACACGCAGGATGCTCACTTGAAAGTTATGCAAAATAAGCAAAAATTAATCCCAAAGATTTGTTTGTCAACTCTTAGATGGAAGCCTGGAATAACTTCACTAACGTGAATTTCACATGTTAACACACTGGACCAATAAGTTAAAAGAAGTGGGGGAAAGTTGTATAATCAAGCACCTTACTGTTAGGGATTTCAATTTTTCGTGAGCTGTCTTGTTCTGCAGAAGGAAGAGTTCCTGGTTGAGCAACATCTTCAGCAGATTTTTGAACAGTTTCAACAGATCCAGGCTCAACATTCTCTGTGTAAGGAAGCTGGCCATTCGCCAGGGATGGATCTTCTTCTTTCTGAACAACTTGACTTCCCTCTACACCTAAGTAAAGCAAAAAAGCAATGGATATAAAAAATTTGCCCAGTTGAAAAGTAAAAAAAAAAATTGTGAGGTGTCCTGTTGCAGAAGGTTCCCTGCACTAGCTGCCCATGGTTTTGGTGCTGCACAATCTGGTTCTGAGGGGCATGAAATGCCAGTAAAATATTTCTTTTGTGAAGTGTCCTGTTACAAGCTCCCTCTGCTTTTATTTATTAAAATTTTTAATATACAGTCGGAGGCGATTATTGGAAAAGGCGGTGAAACCATTAAAACCTTGCAACCTAAGTCACAAGCTCGTATCAAGTTAATATTGAGTTCACAGGGTTTATTTAATACTATATACAACTTCAATAAGCATGATGAGTTCATTGCTTGTACACACATGAAGCCGTATACAGACTAACTCATGTTCTCCAAACCCACAACGCCAGTAGCAGGGGTAAGCTAAGAAAGCTCGAAACTACTACTTAATACAGATAATTTCAATTATTAACATTGTAAAGAGATTATTGAAGTACATTATAATGTTCGCTTAATGGACTGTGGCTCAAATTAAACATTAAACAGAAATAAAAAAGAGCCAGAGGAAACATGCGGGGATATTGTTTAGAAATGTGGGCTTATTTGGCTAGTTATGATGCCAAGAAGAGAAATGAGTAACATTAGTACATCAGCTAATTCTCAGAGTTAAGTACTAGCATGCATGTTTCATGAAATGTGATTTAGAACACAGAAAAGAATTCCAAATGCCTAACATAGAAATCATAGATGAACAATAATAGAGAAGGAGGGCATCAAAGAAACAATAATCAAAACACAATGTAAATCTTCTGAAATTTCTGTCCACCCTATGATTAATTATGGATGACACCAAAACAAAATAGCAAGATCCCATCTTCTGATGTAGCTTAATGTCCGCATCAGATCCTTAAATAAACCAAATGAATAAATAAGCATCAAATCTTTAAAAAAGAATACTTAATCAAAACCCTAATCAAGTATCCAAGAATAGCAAGGAGATGAAATGAAACAGATCAGCTGAAGAAATTACCCAATCCATCGACACCTCCACCCTCAACTCGCTGCCTCTTAGAATCGCCAGCATCCTCAGGCTCCACAACCTTCGTCTCATTCCCATCCTTCTTCTCGCTCGCTTTGACATCGCCGTCTTCTTCCTCCTCCTCCTTCTCGTCTTCGCCTTTGATATCCTCCAACTTCCTCTTATGATCTGAGGCCAACGGAACGGCGTCGCTCGTCTCCGATGGCTCAGCAGAGACGACATCTTTCGGTCCTTTTACCTCTTCCTCTTCATGAGGAGCTTCGGTAGGTTTGTTTAGGGTTGGCTCTTCTGGAGGCGGGATCGCTGATTCCGCCACCGGAGAGGTCTCTACCGCTGTTGTAGTCGGTGTTGCTGTTTCTTCCGCCATTGGAGAGAGCTTTGGTTTTGGGAGGGAGATGGAAAGATGTTTGGGGCTAGGGTTAGGGTTTTAGATTTGTGGGGTTAATATCGTATCGTATGTGATCGGTGAAATTGGGTACTCCCCCCCTATATGTACCTTATTACGTCCCAACATTTTGTATTAGTCCCACATATTATTGAAATTGCTGCCAAGTCCCCGTGGGTAACTAGCCACAGTTAATGAGGGGACAAATTTTCAAAACGGTCATCTTTGGATTTTTAATCCCAAAAAAAGATCCGTTTTCAACTTATTTTCAGAAACCAACCTGGTTTCAGCCTCATCACTGAAATCAGGTCGGTTTCTGAAAAAAAAATCCCTAAACTTCACGGGAGTTCAACTCCCGTGAAGTTTCATAGTTCAAAAATTTTTTTTTAGAATTTTTGAACTATGAAATTTCACGGGAGTTGAATTCCCGTGAAGTTTAGTAAAGCTTACTAAACTTCACGGGAGTTCAACTCCCGTGAAGCTTCGAAATTTTTTTTCAAAAACCGACCTGGTTTCAGCGCTGAGGCTGAAACCAGGTCGGTTTCTGAAATTAAGTTGAAAACGGGTCTTTTTGTGATTAAAAGTGTAAACGGAATTGTTTTGAAAATTCCTCTATAAATGAGGTGAAATTTCCTTCCAAACTAACTTTTCGGCAGAGCTTACCCACCGTACCCTTCTCTTCTAGTTAATTGAAACACAAACCTGGGTCGAAGTGGTTTAAACGCAAACCAAAACAAACTCAACTTTGAACTACTTTCTTCTCCAATTGATACCCATGCATTGTCCCCTAAGCTATTTACAACTAACGGCTCCTCTCCAAGACTTTGAAAATCCTCAAGGTTGTGTTTGGATTCGAGGATTTGATTTCAAATTCCAGAATTTAATTCTAAAATTTGAAATCCAGAATTTCAAATTCAAATCCTTCGTTTGGGAAACATCCAAATTTGAATTTCAGAATTCAATTTGAAATTCATGTTTGGCAAACTTTAGAATTTCAATTTTAAAAATTTCAATTGGATTGTTTGCCAACTAGTAGAATTCTAATTTCTAAACTAAAATTGTAGCTCGAAGATAATTTAGAAATAAAATACTTAAATTACATAAGGTTTGCATCGAAATTGGTGGAAATAAATACCTCAAATAGTATATCACATATCCAACTAACTTGACATCTAGATAAAATACATTAAAATCTCAAATACAGTAATGTCAGTACTACGTTGACCTAATAATCACCATAAAAATAACTGATATCATTCATCAATAAAATTTTGTAAACTCGTCCACCACTAACCAAAACAATAAATAAAATAGAAACTTTAAATATTGCATATAACATTCAACAAACTAGAGATCCAAAATATCCAACAAATACAAACCAACAAAAGTTAATATTTCGTCATTACACATTGTCATGCTTAAGTTGCTCTCGCATTACTTTAAGATTTTTACATCTGATTCAAATGAGAGTTTCTTTCTAATGCTTATACACTTTCACTTTGTATTTCTTTTGTAGTTTTCTCCCATCGGTTCAGAAAGTCTTGCTTTGTGAGTTCTTGAATCACCTGAAACAATAACAAGAAGACCAAATCAGCTCCATTCTTAAAGACCATGCAGACTTCCAACATCAGAAGAAGGCAATGGTGTTAGCTCCACAGAAGTTTGAGATGCTAATGAGATGTCAGTCTATAGAAGATACTATCAGTTCTCATTAAGCACAGTTTATTAATAATCACATTTTATTACAATTTTATACCTTCATTATCTATTTTATATAAATAAATATACCACTAATAATTGTTTTTATTTTTAATTATAGGTTATTGAAGAATAAATCCTAAAAATCTCATCTCTCAACAAAGGCCCTTGAGTAAATAAAGAAATAAGATAAATTCAAGAAGCCAAAGTGAAATATTTGAATTTTAAAAGGCCCAAAGCCCATCAAAAAAATGACTACACCAAAGAGTTGGAATGGACTTTGATGCAAAAAGTTGGAATGAATGGACTTGGATGCAAAGATTACAAGAATGGACTTGATAAGCTGCAGCTTTGATATTTTTTGCTATGGAGACCGGACCTGCTGATGAGATGGGGATTTTTATTTTTTTTCTCATGGACCGAATTCAATTGGAGCTCTCATATGGGTCGGACTGTGCAGAGTTGATCAAAGGCCGGACTTGCTTTTTGATTTTTATCAAATGAATCATTGTGGACCGGTTGTTGGATGCAAACATCAATGGGCCCGTTGCAGCTGGCCTTTGAATGGGCCAAAGAAATGGATTTTGATTTTCAAAAGAAAATCAAAATGAATCATATGCCATTGGATTGCTTCATGACCGGACTTGGGCATATGGACCGGACTTCACTTTGCTGCTGCAACTTGATTTATTTTTGGATTTTGATTTTCTTTTGAAAATCAAATAAATCATATGGGCCTCTTATGTTGGGCTAGAGAAGAACAAAAAGCAAATTCAAATATGGAGATTGTTGCTTGGGGCTCAAGACAAATCCAATGGCTCATATTCATTGAAGATTACTATAAATAGGGGTAGAGAGTGAGGGGTTAATGGTGTGAAAAATTTTGTAACTCCTTTTGGAGAGGAGGGCTACTCTTAATTGAGAATGTCTTCCAAAAATTGTAACTTTAGTTACAATTAATAAAAATAATTTTTCTCCTCTTTAAATTTGTTCTTTCTCCTCTTTGTTGAATGATGAGGATGGAGATGAAGAGCAATTTGAAGGTTTGCATTTCTTTTCTCTTTTATTTCTTTTTAGTAATTTCTTTATTATTGCTTATTAGTTAGATTTAAATTCATGCTTGTAGTGTAGATTTATTTTCTTATCTTTTATTTCTTTTTGCACTTTAATTTGTAGAATAGATTTATTTTCTTGCATTTAATTTTTGTAATGTATTTTGTAGTTTAGATTTTTATTTTCTTTGTAGTTAGATTTATTTCTTGTTCATAGTTTAGATTTTTCTTTTCTTTTTATTTTTGTAATTAGTTCTTTTTCTTGTTTTTATTTCTTAAAGATGTGAATTTAATTCTTGTAGGAAGTTTAGAATTATATGAAACTAGTCTAATTTCCTTTATATTGTATGAATTATTCTCTTGCACTTAAAATGTTCATGTTTAGGATAATCAACTAGAGAACTAATCGGTAGAAGAAGAATTTGATAATCTATGCTTATCTTAAATGGTTTGATAGGTTATGCTTATGAATTCTAGGATTATTATCATGTTGTTGTTCTTATCATGAATAGTAATTTTGACTTAGATGATAATTTGATAGGTTACACTTTTCTTAAATGGTTTGATAATCTATGCTTAATAAATCTAAGTTAAAATATGATAAAAAGAGAATAGTTTATATTTTGTAATTGAAATTGGTTAGTGGATTATATTCTAGATTTCTTACCTCTTTTGAATCCTCCATCTTGACTTTCTTAAATTTTCTTTTCATTCTTAGTTTTATTTCTCGATTTTATTAATTCATATTTTTTGCCTTGTGATTTCATTTATTCTTTGATTCTTTCTTCTCTAAAATTCAATTTATTATCTCTTGCACATAAATCAAAACAACCACTCATCATAATCACACTTATTCTTTATTCCTAATTATCACGCACAAAACATAAGAACCATTTCTAATAATCTCTTAAAATCACCTTCCTCGTGGGATCGATATTTTTTATACTATAACTTGATAAATTGTGCACTTGCAATTTTGGTACATAATTATGCCGCATCAAGCTTTTGGCGCCATTGTCGGGGAAGGTGCTAAAATAGGATTTTATTAATTTGGTTCTTTAACTTGTGTATTTTTCTTGTGAAGGAACCGCTTGGAGCTTGAAAATCTTGGATTGAAGATCAAGAATTTGGAGCATTGCTTTCGGGTAAGTCATCTTTCTAGTTTTCAATTCCACCCTCTTTAGATAGCTTCACAATTAGAGACGATTAGGATTTAAAAAAAAAGATTTTATTTTTGTTGACCATAATAAAATTCATCTTTCACTTGGACATTAACTAACAAGATAATAAACTCAAACAATTTTCCCCCTTCTTACATTTGATTGTTGTTGGCCATAATTAAAAAAAAGATTTTCTTTTTATCATCCTTTTTAGTCGTTTTTAATTTCTAGGGTTGCATTTCATATAGTGTATGAATTCACCAAAGTGATTGTAGCACTTGATTTGACACACACTTAAAACATTCTTAAGGGCAAAACCCCAATCAAGATAAGGTAAGGGATTTCATCACCCTTTCCTTAGCCCACAAATCACTAATTCCTCACTTCACAAACCCAAGCCTTCTAAAACTCATTAGACGTTGGCCCCTAAGGATTCGAGCTCAATAAGGAACAAGAAATCCTTAAGTGAACGGTTTAAGTTTTCTCAGAATAGTTGGTGTCTAAGGCAAGGTTTAGGGGTTGCGTAAAGCGCTCCGCAAGGAAAGAGGTACTTAATTGATCTTTGATCACCCTCTAGTACTATCCTTACCTGGCTAACTACCTGGGTAAAACTTTGATCTTTTCACTGTAGGATGTAGGAGTTTTTGGTTAGGAGCTGGTCTAGTTGAGTTAGGCTAAACCCTAGAGTTAGAGTTGATTAAAAAGTGATTGCCTTGATTTGTTTTAGTTAGGATTTTTCTTTTTCTTTATCTTCTCATATAAAAAAAACTAATTTTCTTTCTTTCTTTCCTTTAAAAAAAACTAATTTTATTTCTTTCTTTAAAAAAAAATTTTGTTTTGGTGTATGCAATTTTGGGTTCGGGATAATTTTCATCGCTTAATCCGTGTTGAACCAATCCAAGAAATGGCAAATCAACTAGTTCTTCAGGATATATGTTACCCCACCAGAAATGCAATTCCATCTTGCATAAGACTCCCCGAAGTAAATGGAGCAAATTTCGAGCTTAGACCGCATTTCATAAACATGCTTCCCAAATTCCTAGGTAATGAAACGGAAGATGCATATATATTTATCTCGGAATTTGAGGAAGTATGTATTGTGATTAAAATGAGGGAATTAACTGAAGATGCGATTAAGCTTAGATTTATTCCATTTGTTCTTAAGGACAAAGCTA